AATGTCAAATACCTATAACTTTTTTTGAATTCAATATTTATATTTTGTAGATTCCAAAATGTTTTTGTTGTTTTCATTGCAAATTCTGAAAACAAATATATTGTAGATTCAATAAAAATATTTTTGTCTTCAAATATTATTTTACCTACTTTTAAAAATATATTGTAAAAGCAACACTTTTCCAAAACATACACAGGCTCATTTTGTCAATGTAAGTGTAAATGTAAGTGTAAGTGTAAGTGTTTTCAATGCTCGCGCAATGCTCGGCTTCCCAGTCGCCATTTCTAGGCTTTATTTAAAACGCAAAAATGGACTCGTCGGAAGAAGTTCTTTTTTGAACAAGTTGTCAATTGCTTTCTTGGTAAGGAATTCAGTATTTGCATTTTAATACGTGTTTCCAACGATTTTTTTTCCTAATTCCAGCAAATCAATACACCGTGGAACGTTGCCCGTTCGAAACGCAAACTTTTAATTGCATACCGTTAATAAAAGGTCATAATTCCGTTCTTGTATTTTTGTAAAATTGATAAACCTATTGAATCACTATTTGTACCGTTTGTTAATAAATAAAAAATGATACCATAAACAATTATTAAATTTATTTAAAATTATTTCTTGAATAGGAAAACTACTAAAATTAAAAATTAAAATATTTAAGCAAAACCAATTTTTTTTTTAAATTATAAAAAACAAATTGTTATACTTATATATAGATATATATAGATACCATATGCAATATTCAAATGATGTTATATGAAAATGCCTGCAGTTGCCTGTTGAACTGTGGTCGTTACTTTACCCAACAAGGTCTACACTAATCACTGTAAAAAAATTGGCTGCTACTTTTTGCTATATTGTGAGTAATTGACATTTTTATGCATCACTTTTTGAGACATTTATGTTAATAACTGTATAATAAAGCATGCTATATAAAGTAATGGGTATTTATTGGATGAGTCAAACCATTTTGATAATTATCAGAGTATAAAACTTATACATTTGACGTATATAGGTAAAAAAAGGAAAAACGCAATTTTAGATGTTAGTTTTCCTAATTGCCCGACATTTCTCAACACTTCAAATTACACAACTTTGCCGTAAAAATCATTCGGCTAGAATGCTCAAAAGATAGACTCGAGCGTCCACTATGTGGCGTAAAAATGAACTAATTATAAACTTTCAAAAAGATGGCGCTTTTAGTATTGAGTAACTTTGTAGAACATTGTATTGCTGTAGAAAGCAAACCAACGGCGCTAGAGGTTTTGGCCACGCGAATGGCTTCGGCTGGAGGTCAGTACGGAAAACAAATCTCGCTTCACTTTTCAATAGGTTCTATCTACATTGATCGATTTCTCTTCATCGACACTCTCTTTCGTAAATAACTCGGCTTCACAAATGTTTCCTGTCGTCTTCGTCGAATTAGATGCTAGATTGTTGCTTCTTCCATCGAAAATATCCGGCCGTGGCGATTCAAAGTTGATCAAGGTTGATCAAATAATTTGTACCCCTGCTTCCAGTTTGATTACATGAGCATTTTCTGTGATCGTTGGTTCTGAATATGGACAAACAGGTAGATGAATTCTATTCCTACTCTTAACTGTAATAAGCTTGGTGGCCCTGAAAAGAGCCGTTTGTTGTCAAAGTTGGTGATGATTTAACCTCCGAAACCAAACAGAGTGCGTCTCTGTCACTTCAAACGTAGGATGACATCCATGCCGCTTACGCTTGGTGTGTTTAGTGTAGGTGACAGCATCACGGATCTAATTTTTCAGGAACACCTTCAGCACACCTCTTAATCAGACCGAAGATACGTCAGACACCGCCACGGCGAGCCAGACGACGGATGGTGGTTATCTCGAAAGAATTTCCGTTTGGTTCTGAATATGGCGATGAGTGTGCAAAATATTACGCATTCCATCCTCCCTATTCGCACGCGCCCGAGGGTCGGAGGAGAATGCCACTTCGACTTGTTTCGTCTACTTACTACTCTCTGACGACTGTGCTGGGGAAGCAGCATATGCATGTAGGTAATTGGTGGATTTTGTTAGTTAATTCGACGCTTTTGGACAATGCTGGACATTTACCAGTTTTTCAATAGTTTCTTGTTGAAAATCAACATTTGGAAGCATTGTTATCGATGCGTAGCCATATTTCTGATCGATTGGTGATAAAATTATTGAAATTGGACCAGGGGCAGCTGAATTATTAACGTTCAAATCTTTCTTAATTTGTTACATGCAGGCATGGAAAATCATTTGCATTCATTTCGTGCATTCATTTACATTCATTTGCCTCTAACTTTTTTCTTCAACAGCATTTCGCAAAATTAATGTATGGAGCTTTTGTAGGTTTTGTTATTAACTACAACTTTTGTTAACAAGTCAAATCCGTATCTTCTTATGCATGACGAACCAGAGCCAACAGAAGCCACTACTGTTTTTCAGTGAATGTATTTTACATTCACTGAAAAACAGTTACAAGTTCTGCCCACTCTAGTTCGTGATACATGAGAGATACAGATTTGAATTATGAGCAAAAGTTGTAGCTAATAACAAAACCTATAAAAGCTTTGTGCACATTTTGCGGAATGCTGTTGATGAAAAAAGTTAGAGGCAAATGAATGTAAATGAATGTATGAAATGAATGCAACTGATTTTCCATGCCTGGTTACATGTTCCATTTTCGGTTTTCACAAGTGTACCCCCATATAGAAAGCAAAGACGTAGTCCTACGTAAAAAATCTCGTACTATGTTATCAATTTTTAAATCCATCGACCTCACATATTGTCTAAGTTCTCGGAAGAACTGCTCGTTTATAAAAAAAGGAAAAATTTCATCAAAATACATTACTAATTTGTCAACCGTCATTTCACAAGTTTGAGAAAGTTTTCGAAAAAACATTATAAAAGAAGGAAAAAATACAGCCTACAGCTGAAAATCTCCTAAATAAATTTAAAAAGAAGGGAAAATCTCCTAAAAATATATTACCAATTTTTACACTTCCACTTCTAGTATTCCGCCGCCTCACTAAAACCACAAACGAAGTGACAGACGGAGTGGCTCGAAAACTTTGGCGACTAACCTGCTATTGCAATTTTTCAGTGTACCACATGGCAACACCACTACTACTGGATTGTACCAACAATCAATACGAAACTAACGATTTTAAATTGGCTCACCACTTTAGTAGCCTATTGGTCCCAAGCAAACGATTAACGTACCCTATGCTAGTTGAAATTCTATTACTACACTATGTTTGTTTTGATTCGCTATGAAAGTTTGACAGATAACATCAGGGGTGTGTGGATTCATGCAGAACATGCAGGGGTGAGTGAAATAGCTTGGGACTGCTTGGGACCGTTGGTCTGGTACTGAGTGAGCCAAAAATAATAATGATTTTCTTCGGGACCCAGTGGTCTTAGAGTTACCTCTATGATTGTACCACATGGCAACACTACTACCACAAACGAAGTGACAGACGACTAACTGGCGAAGAAATCCATTTAAATAATGTGGTTCACTGTAATAGATTTTTCTTGGAAGCTTGCGCCATCATCCACCAGATGGGATAGTATTTTTGTTTTGGTTTTGCACAAAGTTGATTTTTTTTTTCTTTATTTAGGAGATTTTTAGCCGTAGGCTGGTTCATCTCCGAAAGTTGATTTTGTGTACAATGATTCTTTGACAGTGTGTAAAGAGTGCGTATCATTTTGTCATTTTTTTATGCATTTCAGTTTTGAGTAGAGTGAAAGAGATAGAACCAAAAACATTCTAGTACATTTGGTGAAAATGCTAGTTCAATCCAGTAGTAGTGTTGCCATGTGGTACAATCCAGTAGTAGTGGCACAAACGAAGTGACAGACGACTAACTGGCGAAGAAATCAATTAAAATAATGTGGTTCACTGTAATAGAATTTTCTTAGAAGCTTGTGCCATCAGCCACCAGATGGGCTAGTATTTTTGTTTTGATTTGAACATAGTAGACAGTGTGCAAAGAGTGTATCATTTTGTCATTTTTTTTTTTTTTTTTTTATGCATTTCAGTTTAGAGTAGAGTGAAAGAGATAGAATCAAAACATTCTAGTACATTAAGTGTTGCCATGTGGTACAATCCATTAGTAGTGTTGCCATGTGGTACAATCCAGTAGTAGTGGTGTTGCCATGTGGTACACTGAAAAATTGCAATAGCAGGTGCGTCACCAAAGTTTTCGAGCCGCTCCGTCTGTCAATATTGCAATTAGCAGGTTACCCACGTAACCATAGGCACGTTATTTCGTCTTTTTGGTTATATACAGCTGGACAACGGCCACACCAGTGTTTGTAAGTTCTGCTGAGGCCCGTACATAACCAAAAAGGCGAAATAACGTGCCTATGGTTACTTGGGTAGTCACCAAAGTTTTCGAGCCACTCCGTCTGTCACTTCGTTTGTGCTACTACTGGATTGAACTAGCATTTTCACCAAATGTACTAGAATGTTTTGGTTCTATCTCTTTCACTCTACTCAAAACTGAAATGCATAAAAAAATGACAAAATGATACGCGCTCTTTGCACACTGTCAAAGAATCATTGTACACAAAATCAACTTTGTGCAAAACCAAAACAAAAATACTATCCCATCTAGTGGATGATGGCACAAGCTTCCAAGAAAATTCCATTACAGTGAACCACATTATTTAAATGGATTTCTTCGCCAGTTAAGGTCGTACTAGGCAGTTCTCATATTGTCTAACAATAAACCAAAAATATACATTACTTAGCGAACCTCTATTCATCATCCGCACTGGCCAGCCCCAACTCATCATCGCATTCATCTTCCGTAATTTTCTTCTTCTTCAGTTTCTTCAGCGTTCGGATGTCGTTTGCCAGTTCTTCCAAGTCTTCCTTCGAAAATTTGGCCTTTTTCTTCTTCGTCGGATCAACGTCTCCGGCTTCGATGGCCGCTTTCCTCTTCTGTTTGGCATCCCTGCGTTTCTTACGAACTTCCTTCCGTTCTTCCCGTTCATGTTTGGCCAGTTCCCAAGGAATGGATTTCTTTTTCATCAGCTTCTTCTTTCCTTTCCATTCGCCAGTTTCCTGGTACACTTTCAGTTTCTTGTCGTACGAAGCTTGTTTCTGCTTGTCTTTGTAGGTGAGCTTGTAGATGTCGATTGGCTCAGCTGGTCCTTGGAAGGTCTTTTTGAAATGTTCCTTCATTTCTGGCATCTTCGGCAGTTGAAGCATTCCGTAACTGGTGGCGACTTTTCCCAAGTCGAGATCTTTCACCCTTAGAATCAGATTGCACTCGTGCTTGCTGTAAGCTTGAATGTGGGAAACAAACGCTCGACTAGCCTTGTCGTAGATGCCACGGTCGCTCTTTTGGATTCGGTGAAGAGCTTTCAGTGTCTCCTGAAATTTTTTCTCATGCGCTTCCAATGTTACTTTCTTTAGTGAAACTTTCTGATTCCGTGTCAGAAAGTCTACGTAGGCATCTTCCGAAGGTAGAAGCAATATTAGTGCATTGCCTACGTTGCCTTGACGTGCCGTCCGACCAACTCGGTGTACGAAGGCAGATGCATTTGATGGTGCATCCCACTGTAACACCCAGTCCACTTCCGGAATGTCCACCCCCCGTGCTAATAAATCCGTACATAGAAGCAGAGCGTTTTCCGAGTCCCTAAAGTCCTTTAAAATTTTATTCCTCTGTGATTTCATCTTTCCGTGAAGAGCCAGCACCTTTGTCGGTTTTAGTAGCTCGGTCAAAGCAATTCCCCAATACTCAACGCAGGCACATGTTGGGAAGAAAAGCATCGCTTTTTTCACCTGTTGCTTTTCAATGAAATCCAACAAGACGGAAAGCTTAAACTCTGGCTCAACAATAACGTAATAATTTTGCAACAACTTCGGTGTACTGACGGTGGCCTTTTCCTTGACACTGACCAACACCGGATTACGCAAACCGGCACGCATTAAATCCTTCACTTCCTTGGTTTGCGTAGCCGAGAAGAGACCGGTCCTTCTTTGTCGCGGTAGATACCCCAAAATTGTATTGATTGTAGTTTCGAAACCAAGATCCAACAACCTGTCCGCTTCGTCCAGCACGAGAAACTCTAAGCCCCTTACCTTTGCCGTCAAATTCAAATCACCCTTCCGCTCGAACAAATCTTTGAGTCTACCCGGAGTAGCAATAAGAACGTTTGCTCCTTCTTTCCTGATCGAATCCACATCTTCCTCGACAGGATTTCCTCCGATCAGAAGTTTCTGTTTGAACATCGACAATTGATCATGTTCCAGAAAACCTTGCAGCACAGCGCTAATTTGCACGGCTAGCTCTCGAGTCGGGGAAATGATTATTGCACCGATTTCAGATTTCTTCCAAGCCGTGTCACGCTGTCTTTTTAGCAACAATTCCAACAATGGTACAACGAAAGCCAGAGTCTTGCCGGAACCGGTAACTGCTTCAGCGGCGACATCCTTGTACGATAGGAGCAATGGGATTGTAGCTGCCTGCATGGATAACAATAAAAAAAAATGCTAAATTTATTCGATACTAGTATATCCGATGGCCGCGCCGATACTTACTTGAACCGGTGTCATTTTTTGGAAGCCAAAACCCTCTATCACTTGAAGCACCGGGGCGCTGAGTGGCTTAGTGAGATCGGTCCACTTGGCACTGGGTTTGGCCATGGTTAGGGCTGTTTGATAGCTCTTTTATTGAGAATGACCGTTGCGCAACTTTGATCACACAGCCAATTTTCTAACAAAGTTATAATCTTCTAAAAACAAGTTATTATTCTAGCAAAAGCAACCGATCATAAGAAGAATAATTCGCACATGTGAATACTTTTGTTTTGATTTGCATTTTAAACTTTTTTTACTGCCGTTTTGACAGTTTTTTTTTCCTTGAAGGGGTTTTTCGAATTTGGTCGAAAAGAGATCTGGCATAAATAGTCCTCTACAGGCGGGTTCGTATTGGTACGATTTGCGTGTGTTAGTAAGATGAAATTTTTTGATAGCTGCGAGAATTTTTTTTTTTCTGTAAGAACTGTCATTCTAAAGTAAAAATCAGTGCCAACATTTCAAAGGGGCGTAATTGCATTTGTAAACAATGGCTTTAGTCGTCGATTTCTCGCGAATAAAATCTCTCTCATGAAAAATAATTACACCAGCAGGTAGAGGAATGTTTCCTCTATCAGCAAGCAATGTAATTTTGTAGAGGTAAGATTTCATTCGCGAGAAATTTACGGTTAAAGTCATTGTTTACAAAAGCAATTACGCCCCTTTGAAATGTTGGCACTGAAATAAACAACAAAACGAAAACAAATCCTAAGCTTGTACGGTAACAGCCAAATACTCTTTTATGAGTAAAAGTTAACCCATTTTTTATAAAAGTGGCTTTACTCATTTATGACTAAATTATTAAAATAACAATGAGTTTCTGCAAACAGTACACAGCAAAAAAAAATGTAATATCGATCAACGTAATTCAAGCTGATGTATGAAATCAGGCATAACATTTGATAACGGCACAAAAGCATTTGTAAACAAACTTTCTAAGGCCCTTTACACGCGAACCAAAGTACGTCAACGCAAACCAACAACATTATCGGATAGGTGCAACTATCACCTTTCCGAAAGTGGTATTGGTTTGCGTGGGCGTACTTTGGTTCGCGTGTAAAGGGCCTTAGAAAGTTTGTTTACAAATGCTTTTGTGCCGTTTTCAAATGTTATGCCTGAAATGTTATGCCTGAAATAATGATGTAATAGCAAAAAGCAGATACAATATTACATCAATGGATGTAATTTTGTTCGCAAAATCGATGTACATCGTACAATGTGATATTACACAACCGATGGATTGACCTGGTTGCAGCAGTTTGGATGTAATATTCAACAACTTGTTTTGCTGTGTAGCTAACAGTTACTACTTAATTGGCAAAATAAATTACTCATTAATTAGTAGTACCACTTTTATTGACAATGGTTAACTTTTACTCATAAATGGGTGTTAAATCAGGCATAACATTTGATAACGGCACAAAAGCATTTGTAAACAAACTTTCTAAGACCCTTTACACGCGAACCAAAGTACGCCCACGCAAACCAATACCACTGTCGGAAAGGTGATAGTTGTCCCTATCCGATGATGTTGTTGGTTTGCATGGGCGTACTTTGGTTCGCGTGTAAAAGGCCTTACAAAGTTTGTTTACAAATGCTTTTGTGCCGTTATCAAATGTTATGCCTGAGATTATTACCAACATTATTACCGTGTACATGGCAGCCCGCATAAACGCGAACCATACGTTGACCTTACCGAAAATGGTTACAAATTGTTTATAATCCCTGCTAAACTTTAACTGAAATGGTTATGGAACTTTACATGAACGTTTGTGTGATAAAGTTTTAACCTTATGTATTATGGTTTTTTGGAAGTAAACCTTACAAATAATGGGTTGTTAAGAACCATTACCATTCTAAATTCTTGTTTTCTCCATACATTTTCTGAAAGAAAACTATATTAGAACCTTTTTACTTATGGTTTGAGAATTTTAATGGTAATGGTTATGGTAGTCAGTAAGGTCCATGGATGGTTTTGTATTGTCGGTCAACTTTACGTGGAATATATCGCGAATTGGTAATCATTAATTTACAGGCAACCTTGTAAAGTTCCATAACCATTTCAGTTAAAGTTTAGCAGGGATTATAAACAATTTGTAACCATTTTCGGTAAGGTCAAGATATGGTTCGCGTTTATGCGGGAGTATACACTAGTATGTGTAAAATAATATTGGCCCTTATTACGGGTGTCACTTCACGGTGAAAACGAAGTGAAGGGAGCAGTTGTCACTCACGGTGAAGTGATTTCCGTGTAAATCAAATGGGAATCACTTCACCGTGAGTGATAAGTTGTCACTTCACCGTGAAGTGACATCGGTAATAAGGGCCATTATTAGATTAGTGTTCGTGAGATCCTGCTTGAAGAACTCAATTCTCTAATAAATCAGTGCCAACATTTCAAAGGGGCGTAATTGCTTTTGTAAACAATGACTTTAGCCGTCAATTTCTGGCGAATGAAATCTTACCTCTCCAAAATTACAATGCTAGCTGGTAGAGGAAACATTCCTCTACCCGCTGGTGTCATTATTTTTCATGAGTGAGCTTTTATTCGCGAGAAATCGACGGCTAAAGCCATTGTTTACAAATGCAATTACGCCCCTTTGAAATGTTGGCACTGAAATGATGTGTAAATATTTACATGATTGATAAATCTCAGGTGCACGCTATTTCAAAACTACCCAAACTTGGGTAGAATCCACCCAGATCCGGCAAAACTGAACCTACCCAAAAATGGGTAAACTGTGTTGGGAGTGACAAGTTGACAAATGAACAACGTCGATCGAATTCATGTCAATAGAGATTAGTGACGTTTAACGCACGCACACTAGCGGAAGCAACGCCGTGTAAAGTTGTTTATTATTTTCCTCTGGCTAACCTAAAAAATGTATGAAAGTAAACCTGTCAAAATGAGTTTGACATCGATTTGTTATGTATTTTCCTCGGATATTCATTAACACGCTCTCACATATCGCACCAATACAACCAGACGTGACATTCCACATCGAACGCTCGACTGTTTCGGTCAAGTATTGCTTGCACTCCGTAATCGGTACTAGTTTTTTTCCCCTATTGAGGTTTTTTTTCAATCCGCTTTCATACTGAGTGCCCTAATAAAAATTGTATGGTTAATTTGCTTAACGACGTGTTCTGGGTATCATCCAAACCATTTGTGGAATAGTTCAATGATTTGGGTTATCGTTCGTTTATGGTTATTTTTTATTAGGGTGGTGTTGTAGTATACAACAGTGCAGTGAGCATCGCGGAATTGTAATTGCCGCTCAATCGTTCGAGAAAGGAAGCAGTCATTTCCGGCCGAGTCCGGCAGATGAGCTGTACATCTCTAACCAACAAGTTTCATCGCATCACGAAACGGCAAACTCAAGGTCATCGAGTTCACCAGCCGGCGAGCCAGCCGGTGCTTTGTTGCAAACACTCGAGGGCAACAATAGAACGATCATCACCATCATTCTCACATCAGGATAGATCATCGTCATCAGCCACACTCCGTGCGCTTGTGTGGAGAGTTAAGTAACAAACGGTTATCTTCCGTTCTCCGCAACCTGATTAATCTCCATACAGTGTTGATTAACTTTTCTGACACTGTTTTTTCCTGAAAAAATTTTCTTTTTTTTTTTCTCTTTTTTTTTCATTTACTGTTTTTTTTTTTTGCAAGTTGATTAATCTCCCTATAGTGTTGATTAACTTTCCTGGCATTATTTTTTTCCATTTTAAAGTTTTTTTTTTTTTTTTTTGCTTTGTTGGATTAAGTATTATTTTTACCGTTATATTTTTTTCTTATTTTTTTTTTTTATTTTTTTTTTTTTCTCAACGCATATATATATATATATATATATATATATATATATATATATAATATATATATATATTTCCTTTTTTATGTCGAAATCTGTTGCGGAGGTACTTAAGACCCCGCAATGGATTAAACCAATGATGGCGGGGGTATTTCGCTAGCAGATATCTCCGATGATGAGTCTGTTAAATCTCCATCATTCGAAAATCTGCTTCTCACTGAAGAGGAAATGGATACCTCAGGGGATTCTACTTCGGACCCCAAAACGAGCACTGGAGCTTACCCAAAGGTGATGTCTAAACAACAACCTCCTTCACCCCCTGCCCCCCCTTCTCCACCATCGCCCCCTCGTCCACCTGTTCCCCCTACTCCAACCGTTCCCTTAAAAATTTCTGCGACCCCCCGCCATAAAGCTTACCCAAGCGACTCAAAAGGTCCGTGGGTTGTTTTTTTCCGGCCCAAACAAAAACCTTTGAATATTTCTCGGATTTCGAAGGATCTGACAAAACATTTTTCGGCCGTAACCGATATCTTTAAGGTAACGTCAAACAAACTGCGCGTTACCGTTGATGACCTGAAACAGGCAAACCGGATTGTTGCCTGTGAGCTTTTTTCGATCGAATATCGAGTCTACGTCCCCAGTTGTGACGTAGAAATTGAAGGAGTGGTCACCGAATCGAGTCTGACTTGTGAGGATTTCCTGCAAGTCGAATCTTTCGGCATTTTCAAAAACCGTGCCCTCCCGAAAGTCAAGATACTGGACTGCATTCAACTGCAGTCAGTGTCGCACATAGGCACAAAAAAAAAGTATACCCTCTCAGATTCGTTTCGTGTGACCTTTTCAGGATCGGCATTACCTGACTACGTCACAATTGGGAAGGTTCGACTACCTGTACGCTTGTTTGTACCGAGGGTAATGAATTGCTTGAAATGCAAACAACTAGGTCACACCGCGGACTTTTGTTCCAACAAACCGCGGTGCGATCAATGTGGGGAGGAGCATACGGAGGGTCCTTGTCATGCTACCCCAAAATGCGTTTACTGTAAGGATGCTCCGCATGCTCTGAGTGATTGCCCGAAGTACAAACAGCAGGGAGAAAAACTAAAGCGGTCTTTGCAAGCTCGCTCTAAGCGCTCGTTAGCAGAAATTTTAAAAACGACCGCTTCATCTTCCCAAACCACCCCAAAAAGCAACAACACATTCCACCTCCTGCCAGATGATGATCAGGGCTCTGACTCAGAGGTGGGTGAGAGTAATCCTTTTGTCTTTAATGGCAACACGAGGAAGCGGTCCAAAATAAACGTCACCCAAAAACCTCGTAAGGCCTCTCGTATGGACTACCAACCTACCTTGACAAATTTAAGAGGTAGCGGAAATGTACCGAAACCCCCACCACCGGGATTTAA